CCCTGCCCCGCCCCGCCCGAGGTGTCTGCCCCCTGCCCCTTCCCTCCAGGGGAGTCTGCCCCCTTCCCCCACCTCGCCCTGCCCCGCCCCGCCCGAGGTGTCTGCCCCCTGCCCCTTCCCTCCAGGGGAGTCTGCCCCCTTCCCCTGCCCCGCCCGAGGTGTCTGCCCCCTGCCCCTTACCTCCAGGGGTTAGTCTGCCCCCTTCCCCCTCCGCCCTGCCCTGCCCTGCGTGTCTGCCCCCTGCCCCTTCCCTCCAGGGGAGTCTGCCCCTTTCCCCCACTCAGTACCCAGGGAGGAACCTGTCCCGCTCCCCGCGGCATGACACAGAGCCTGGGCATGTGGGTTGGTGACCCAGCCCTGGCTGACTTGCTGGAGCAGGCGCTAGTCAATTTGTGTGCTTTCTGGCAGCAGCTTGCTCGGCCCCTGGGCTGCCCCACAGCCCTGGCCATTGCTGGATTTGGGCCACAGCTGTTCTGGGAACTCTGGGTGTTGCACAGAAGGTGAATCCATTTAACTTCTCCCAGCTACTGAGGGGTCCTGCCGGGGTCTGTCCCTCCCATACCCTGAGTCAGGAGAGCCTTGGCATAAACTAAGAACAAAAGACCGGCCATACCAGGTGAGGCCAATGTTCCGCTAGCCCAATATTCCGACTTCCACCGCTGGCCAGGGCCGGTGCTTCGGCGGGCGTGAACAGAACAGAATTATCAAGTGAGCCATCCCCTGTCGTCCAGTCCCAGCTTCTGATGGCGGGTCTGGGATAGCCACAGCATGGGGTTCTGTCCCTGACCATCTTTGCTAATTGCCATGGATGGATCTATCCTCCAGGAGCTTGTGTAATTTTTTTTGAAGCCAGTTACAGTTTTGGCCTTCACCGCATCCTGTGGCAGAGAGTTTTGCAGGTTGACTGTATTTTGTGAAGCAGTGCTTCCTTTGCTGGGTTTAAACCTGCAGCGCAGTCTATGAATTTCACTGGGTGACCCCTGGTTTGTGTGTTTTGTGAAGGGGTAAATTCCTCATCCTTATTCATGTTCTCCACACCAGTGAGTTAGTTCTCCACACTAACAGGACTCTGCATGTTTACTCAGCTGATTCAGAAGGTCCCTTGCTCCTGTCCTCCCAAGACAGCGTGCAGTGTCAGTGACATGGCGGCCGTTTTTGTGAAGAAGTTTGCAAAACAGGAATGCTTGCAGTTGTGTTGATAAGCATAGCCCATACCCTGTGCACACGGCCCCACAGCTTACACACTGACCTGACACAACTTTTGAGAAGACAAGACACCACCTGGCTGTGGGGAAAGAGCTGGGCTGGAGCCAAGTCACACAGGGGTTACTCACATGCCTCTCTGCCATTTCAAAAGGATGGGGGCAGGGGCAAGTACAGTAAACAGCGACAGACAAAGCCAGGAAATTCCCATGGGTGCGTAAAACTCCTCCCAGCTGCCTGCGCATGGCCCTGACTCACCCCCTTCTTCTTGGGTAACATCCTGGCCCTCTTCCATGAGTGAGGCTTGATGTCTGTGTGGGCTGTGGATAGGGCCCACCAGGCAATACAATCGCTGAGGGAGGAGGACATCATGCAGCGGGTGCAAGCTGAGTTATAAATGTGCTTAGTGTTCAGACTTTATTAAATGCTCGTAACTTACTGCCTGCATTAATCTCACTTAGCTCCTCTTATAAGTGACTAGTTAAGGGTTTGCTCTGTAACTGTAAATCACCAGGCAGAAGAGAAGCATTAACAAACATGAAATACCAATTGCCCCAAGAGGTGTTCTCTCCTCCCCAAGGAAAGAAGATCCAACACCACCAGATGAACCATTGTGGGACATCAGAGGACAAAATACTTTGTTGGTTGCTCCCCCCACCACACACAACGAAGAGGCGATGTGCAACTGAATTCCTCCCAACCGCTGAACTTGTAACTCCAAGCAGAAGGAGGGAAGGGATAAAAAGCCCTAACAAGGAGAAGCTGTATCTTTATATTGCTTGGACTTTGAGGGGCAAGGATTAGTAAGCATAAGCAAACGATCTGCAGTGCTTGGCCTGGGTTAGCCTTGAAGAACATACAGAACTTAAACAACCAGGAGTCCGGTGGCACCTTGAAGACTAACAGCTTTATTTGAGCATAAGCGTTTTTTTTTTTTTTCCCCAGATAAATGGGTTAGTCTTTAAGGTGCCACCGGATTCCTGGTTGTTTTTGTGGATACAGACTAACACGGCTGCCCCCGATACTTGTCATACAGAACTTACTTATTATAGAAGCTTCTATTACCTCTTGAAACTTAAGACTGTAACTCATTTTTCCTGCTTTAACCTGGTAAATATCTATTTCCTTTTCCTAGTTAGTAAATCTGTAGATAGTTTATTATAGGATTGGCTACAAGTATTGTCTTTGGTGTAAGATTTAAAGTGCAATTGATCTGGGATAAGTGACTGGTCCTTTGGGGCTGGGAGTAACCTGACTATGGTGATTTTGGGTGTAAGGGACCATCTATCATAGAATCATAGAATATCAGGGTTGGAAGGGACCCCAGAAGGTCATCTAGTCCAACCCCCTGCTCGAAGCAGGACCAATTCCCAGTTAAATCATCCCAGCCAGGGCTTTGTCAAGCCTGACCTTAAAAACCTCTAAGGAAGGAGATTCTACCACCTCCCTAGGTAACGCATTCCAGTGTTTCACCACCCTCTTAGTGAAAAAGTTTTTCCTAATATCCAATCTAAACCTCCCCCACTGCAACTTGAGACCATTACTCCTCATTCTGTCATCTGCTACCATTGAGAACAGTCTAGAGCCATCCTCTTTGGAACCCCCTTTCAGGTAGTTGAAAGCAGCTATCAAATCCCCCCTCATTCTTCTCTTCTACAGACTAAACAATCCCAGCTCCCTCAGCCTCTCCTCATAAGTCATGTGTTCTAGACCCCTAATCATTTTTGTTGCCTTTCGCTGGACTCTCTCCAATTTATCCACATCCTTCTTGTAGTGTGGGGCCCAAAACTGGACACAGTACTCCAGATGAGGCCTCACCAATGTCGAATAGAGGGGAACGATCACGTCCCTCGATCTGCTCGCTATGCCCCTACTTATACATCCCAAAATGCCATTGGCCTTCTTGGCAACAAGGGCACACTGCTGACTCATATCCAGCTTCTCATCCACTGTCACCCCTAGGTCCTTTTCCGCAGAACTGCTGCCTAGCCCTTCGGCCCCTAGTCTGTAGCGGTGCATTGGATTCTTCCATCCTAAGTGCAGGACCCTGCACTTATCCTTATTGAACCTCATCAGATTTCTTTTGGCCCAATCCTCCAATTTGTCTAGGTCCTTCTGTATCCTATCCCTCCCCTCCAGCGTATCTACCACTCCTCCCAGTTTAGTATCATCCGCAAATTTGCTGAGAGTGCAATCTACACCATCCTCCAGATCATTTATGAAGATATTGAACAAAACCGGCCCCAGGACCGACCCCTGGGGCACTCCACTTGACACCGGCTGCCAACTAGACATGGAGCCATTGATCACTACCCGTTGAGCCCGACAATCTAGCCAGCTTTCTACCCACCTTATAGTGCATTCATCCAGCCCATACTTCCTTAACTTGCTGACAAGAATACTGTGGGAATCTATCACTAAGGCAAGCTTGCCTAGGTGACAAGATAGTCCCCTTGGGCACTCCAGTCTGTCATGGAGTCCCTGGGCGATGCTCTGGAACTGCTCCCCATGAAGCCAGGCAGGACTCTGGGGCAGTCTCCTTTCGGTGAGCAGACTGTCTGTAGGACACAAAGCTCACACAGCTTCCCCCTTCCTAGGTCTGACCTCGGAGCATTCAGCATCCTTTGCCCCTCCGTGCGCTTCCCACAGCGAGTCCACCCAGGCGGGGTCCTGGGGAAGCCAGAGGGTCCTGCCCCCCAACTCTACCGTCAGACATGACTCTCAGCCAGCCAGTAAAACAGAAGGTTTTTTAGATGACAGGAACATGGTCTAACACAGAGCTTGTAGGTGCAGAGAACTGGACCCCTCAGCCGGGTCCATTTTGGGGGGGCGGTGAGCCAGACAACACGTCTGCACTTCACTCCTCATCTCCAGCCAGCCCCAAACTGACTCACCCTCCACCCCCTCCTCCTCTGGGCTTTGTCCCTTTCCCGGGCCAGGAGATCACCGGATTCCTTTGTTCTCCAACCCTTTAGCTCTCACCTTGCGGGGGGGAAGGGCCAGGCCATCAGTTGCCAGGAAACAGGGTGTCGGCCATTCTCTGTGTCCCTGCACACCCCTGCCCTCTAGGGCTCTGCAACGATCATACACCCTTACACCCCCTAGATACTTCAGAACTGCCTAGGGGAAACTGAGGCACCCCCACACTATTCAGAGGAAACATTAATAACAGTTCCACTTCGTCACATCGTCTATCTGTGATTCCATGTTAAGGCTGTTTCAGTGCCTGAGGAGTTCACACTTGACACCTGGCTGGTGAAATCTAAAACTCCCAGGCAATGTGGGGTTAAGCCCTGGTTCCTAACAGTCTGCCCTGAAGCTGGCATTCATGCTCTTGCCAGTCCCCAGGAAACAAAAGCTCCGTGCTTGACTGGTCAGTCCTAGCATTCAGTAATAGCTGTGGAGTTTGCTGAGTCCATTCTTTTCTGCCTTGCCTGCCTCTCCAAGGAGCCATGCTCATCCAGTGAGAAACAAAGGCCGGAGGTAGTTAGCAATTGCCAGATGCCCATGAGTGGTGCCATGGGTGGCCACCAAGCTGTTGGGATGGGCTGCTGCCTCACAGCTCGTAACGGTGAAAGCAGATTTTGGAACATCAGCTCCTTGGGGCAGACTTTCTGGGCAAGGGGTTGCAGGGGAAGGAGAAGCCCTGGTCAGTTCAGACAAGGTTCTGGGACAGAGGTGAGGATGTTAGAATGAGCTCCCCCAGGAGCTCCCTCTTTTCACAGCCATGTGCCAGAAAACACTCACCAGCAACCAGCTGGGCCAGTTCCTGAAGAACTTGAAAACAACAACATAAATGGCTCTGCCATTCACACTCCGAACTCGGAGCTTAGAAAGAGGGAGCGTGGTTTTAATAGTAACAGCTAACATGTCCCCAGGGGAGGGGCTTCCTGAAAACCACCCAGCTGCTGGGACAGCCAGGTTGGGGTCTGGTGGCTTCGCAGACACCCGCTGAAGGCCCAGCAGCGTTAAACATCCCACTGTCAGACGAGAGGCTGGTTTGGGCCCATTGGCACCAGGTGTGCTCAGCTCTAGCCGTGCCTGACCGCCCGCACGGCTTCTGGACCCCGTGCCCTGATGGAAGGCAAGGTCTCGGCAGCCTTCCCTGGGGAGACAGAGTCACAAGCACCAGCTCATGACAGGAGCGGAGGTTTTTGCCCAAAGAGAACACGCCAGTGCAGCTGTAGGGCAGGGCCTGGGTACCAGCACCAGCAGGAGACTGGTTTTCTCAGCGATATGTCTGCATCTCTCAGCGCAGCCCTGTAAAGTCCATTCCCGGCTCCGGTCTCTCCAACGCGAGGCTGCGGCCAGAGGGAAAGTCCTGGTCACGCATTCAGCTCCTTCCTTCCTACAGCACAAAGGGAGCGCTTCAGTCATTGTCATCATCAAATCTCTGTGCTCCCATAATGCCAAGGGCCCCTCGGGTCCTGGCTCCCAGTGTGGCTGCTGCCCAGACGCACAGGGAAATGGTCCCTCGCTCACAATCCAGCCTCTCTGGTTCCTGTGCGCCTCCCTTGCCCCGGGATTGGATGGGGCAACAGGCACCCTGGTATCCTCGCCATGGAACAGCAGGGCCTGGAATTGAATGGCCCCGCAGCCACCCTAGGCACAGGGGAAATGGTTTCCCAGTCAAAAGCTGTTCCCAGTGAAAGAGGAGTGAGCAGCTATTCCCTGTGGCGTGTGTGAGGCACGGTAGCAGCCACACAGTTAGGGCCTGGTCTGCCTCGGTATGAAGTCAGCTGGGAACATTGGACCTATTTGCCTCTGCCATAGAAAGCGGAGGCGATGCCCATCTGGGTCCCCGTTGCAGCACAGCAGCTGTGGTAGAGATTTTGCTCCTCTGCAGGAGGAGACGCTTAGGAAATGCTGACTAGCTCAGGCAATTCCCTGCTGATTCTGTTTGCCCACCACAGACGCCCTTTGCTTTGCAGCTCTGGCTGCCACCTGCACTGCCCAGAGCTGTACTGAACTCAGCTGGGCGGGGCAGCGGAAAGGGCAGCTGGGCCCAGGCTTCATTCACTTACAGACGAGGCGTTGGATAAATCCCCCCAGCATTTCCTTCATCTCCTTGGAGCATCAATGTCCAGGAGCTTCAGTCCGACTCCGTCCCCTGCCCACCCCCAGCCACGCGCTGAGCCTCACCTGGCATGCAAGGATGCGTCTCTTGCTTCCCATAAATGCACTGAAGCCTCTGAATGAGAAATACCTTATCTTCCCCTTCCTAGAACAGAAGAGACACCACCGTGAACAAAGGGGGGCAGAACAGGGCCATGACCCCCGGCAAAACAAGCCGCTGTAATAGGAGAGATGGAGAAACTAACGCTCAGCTGTTATGGCCAAAATCCAGTGGGAGCTGCAGGTGTTCAGCACTTGTGAAAACTCAGCCACTCATTTGGGTGCCTAAATGTGTGTGTAGGTGTCTAACTGAGGCACCCATTAGAACTCAGGAGTTCCTGGATCCCAGACCCGTGCTCTGTCCACTCGACTACACCTTGCACCTCCCATCACCTTCCTGAGGTGTAAGCATGGGGTACAAGGAACCAATGCCGAGCCACTGGCTCCTTTGAAATCTATGTCCCCAGTTTTCCTTATGGCTCCACAGCCGATTACCAATAAGTACCATAAACCTTCTCTCCTCATAAGAACGGCCACACTGGGTCAGACCAATGGTCCATCCAGCCCAGTGTCCTGTCTTCCGACAGTGGCCAGTGCCAGGTGCCCCAGAGGGAATGAACAGAACAGGGAATCCTCAAGTGATCCATCCCCAGTCACACTTTCCCAGCATCTGGCAAATAGAGGCTAGGGACACCATCCCTGCCCATCCTGGCTAATAGCCATTGATGGACCTGTCCTCTGGGAACTTCTCTAGTTCTTTTTTGAACTCAGTTATAGTCTTGGCCTTCCCAACAGCCTCTCTCCTCACACCTTTGGCTTAAACCTTTGCATGTAAAAGGCACTTCTCTGTGCCATGGTAGGGCCTTCTTTAAGGTACTGGCACAGAGGCAGGCCCAATTCAGCTTTCCCTGGGTCCCCAAGTCCCACACATAAGGCAGTAAGAAGCAAGCAGCATGCAGAGGCCCCATGAACTCACGTTGGCAATCTGTTCCTTCAGCAGGCGGATGATTCTCCGCTGGCCTTTCACCACCTGGATGTGGAGGTAGATCACAGCTCTGCAATGGAAGGACATGAACTGCAGGCCTCAGGGTCTGATGCCCACATTTGAGGGGGCCACGCATGCCAGATGTATGGCTAGATCACCTGCCATTCTCTCCAAGCCAGAGCAGGGGACAGGGGGGAGGACGGACAGGGGATGGGGGGGGACAACTGGGCTGGCCCCAGCAGCCAGTCAGAGACCTCCTTTCTCACACACCCAACCTCTCCTCCCAACGAATTTCTCTGCGCTCAGCCACTTGTTTCACGGCCTCAGGCGGCCAGGGAGTGAGGAGTGGGACACGCACTCCCCGAGCAGCCCTCCAGCTCCCACCTTGGCGATGCAATGCGTGGGGTGAGGGTGTCAGACTGTGCTTCACGACTTCAGTGGGGTGACACATCTGACCCCCTCATGCAGAAGAGGCAGCTCCACCCCCTGATTCAGGGGCGCCGCTCCATTAGCTGCCAGAGCAGGGGCACCAACGCCTTCTTCCAGGCTTCCACCCACGGGAGAGTGAGGCCGTGGTAAGGAGAAATAACAGCTAGGTTCAAAGGGTCGTGCCAAACCCAGTGTAGGACCAGTGCTGCTCTCTGGGCGGAGGCAGGAATGCTCCTGGGTGACGCTGTCCCGGCTTACCAGGGAGCTCAAAGTACAAGGACTGAATGCCTTGAGCAGCTATTCTCAGCTACGGGGAGCCCAGCCTGGTGTGTTTGCCTGTAGTTTTCAGGCTTGGATTCTGAAGTCAGTCATACTCACAGCAGGACTCCGGACACAAAGAACAGGAAGAAGGTATTTCCCACCAGGTGTTTGTGGATCCAGGTGAACCAGGCGATGTTTGGGCTGCATTTCTCCAGCTCTTGAACCCAAGTCTTCCCTGACTCGTAGATGGTCTCCTGCATCCGGAACGGGCCACATGTTTTGGATGGTCTCACTCTGGGCAGACAAAGAGCAGATGAAAGTCAAATGGACACCTGTGGTAGAGGACGACTTCCAGCTGCAATTCACTTGTTACCAGAACCACCGCCTGACCTGACCTGGGCTTTGTGCCTTTGGTGTGGAATCTAGATGTTACCTCCAGAAACAACACAAACCTGATTTCCATGCCACCTAGAATGGGCTCCAACTGCAGCCATGCCCCGGGAAAGACTTCCTCTAGCAGGGATTTGATCCAAGGCACCCCCGCCTCCCCGCCCCACCCCCAGCTGTGCACAGGTGTTTAGAAACCGCAGGGCTGAGTCGGAGGCAGGCGAATCCTCTCTGCGGAAATATCCCCTGGCTGCCTTTATTCGTACAGTGCTAAAGCACGCACGGTGACTTACAGGCAGCTCTGAGACAGGCCCAGCCCCGAGGAGCAGACTGGTCCCAATCAGCCTTTGTGTCCCAAGCACTGGGAAGCTGGAGGGGGGAAGGGGAGGGTAGAGCAGTCAGACCCCACAGCTGGTTGGCTCCATTCTCTCTGTAGGCACAGAGGGTTCTCATTACACACACTCACGCCCAGATGGTGTAGGAGAGGAAGATCGCGGCGCCCAGGAACGAGGGGAAGCACAGGAGGGTGATGAAGACAGTGCTCATGTGAGATGCGCGCCACGGCTTGCTGGGAGACTGGCAGTTCTTCATCAGGCTGGTCTGGAGATACAGAGTTAAACCAGCTACTAACTTCTGACCCGAGTGTAACAACCCCCCATCAGCTGGCACACAGGACAGATGTTCTCTGGCCCAGGGAGTCCCAGGCCACTGCTGCTAATAGAAATGGAGAGGGTGAGACCTGGTGCAGGTGAGGAACGCCCGTCTGTCCCCTCCCTTCCCAGGGAGCTCTCCTCTGTTTCTGGACAGAGCTGACTATAGAACTGGACAGGGACCTTTCCCCCCATCCAGCCTCTAGACCTCCCGGCTCTGGACAGCGTGATTGCAGCTGCAGCACTGGCTGAGGCCGAACAGCAGCTGCGAGCCGAAGGCCGGTGGGTGGGGACGACCGTTACCTTCTTGATGTAGAACAGGAGCACCAGCTTGAGGATCTGGACGGCTGGGAGGAGGGGGCAAAAGAGAACCCCCAGCCTGAAAGGAAGAAGGAAAGATACAGTACATTTGTGAGAGCCCTGCCCTCCCCCGCCCCCAGGAGCCAGTGCCCCCAGCCATGGGGCAACATGGTCATTGCCTTGTTCTCCTCCAGCTGGGGGGCTTCCAAAGTGCACAATGGAGCCAGAACATGGGCGGCAGCAGGGGACCCTCCGGGAGCTCAGTGGGGCAGGAGATGCGCTGTCATCCAATGGCAGTGGAAGCCCACGGCGTGGCCCGGGGGCCCGATCCGGCCCGCCTGACAAGGGGACCCCCAAGCCGTACCCACACGGCTCGGCCCAGGCACCCGATCCTGCCTGCCTGACAACACAACCCCCACGCCGTACCCAGAGGGTGCGGCCCAGGGGCCCGTCTGGCCTGCCTGACAACATGACCCCCACACCGTACCCACACGGCGTGGCCTTTCCAGTTTCCTTTTTCACACAGTGAGTTTCTAGCCCTGGAGTCTGCAGAGAAAACCTGCTACATACGAGTGGAGTGTGACCCTTGCATGGTGCCTGCGTGGCTCAGACGGGGGAACTCGACTAGGAGTCTGGCTGGAGGAACAGAAGCGACTTGGAGAGAAGAGAAACAAAGGGCAGAAACCGGGATGGCCTGAGTGGGGGTGGAAGCGACAAGCACTGAACGAATCACAAATAAGGCCAACGGTTAGTTACTACACAAGGCCTTGTTCTGCCATTGACACGACTCCTGCTCCAGGTTGCGAGGGAATCGTAATCCTGACCTTACACCTGGCCCCCAGAGCATTTGCCCTCCTTCCACGCACGTTCTGTTCTGCACAGGTCCTTATCTCGCCCGCAGCGTGTCAGGCACCTTCCCGCCTGGGGCGTTCTCGCTCCCGGGGGAGCTGCGTGTGCAGGGGGGTTTAAAGGTGCTCGCTGCTCTGTGTCTGAGCTCCTGCGTGAGCACCTGTGTAATCGGGCAGCCGCCTATCGGCTTGTGAAGCGGATCTGCCTCTCCTGGCTCTGGGAAGAGGCTCTAGCTACTCGGGTAACAGAGGGGTGGGGGGAAGCTGTTGAACCACTGGCAGCAGGAGATGCCTCACCAGGTCAGAGTCTGCCCATAGATCAGCTCCAGCACGTTCCGGGCAATGTCAAACTCAGGCCTCTGCTTCCTCATCAGCTTCTTCTCCAAGATGAGCCTGGAAGACAGAGAGAGACTCTCAAGGGGCTGAGGCCGCAGGACACTCAGCCCCTGAACTTTCACTCCAACAGAGATCAACCTTGCAAGCAAGATGTGCCAATGTCCCAGCAAGCCAGAGCTGCCTCTGCAAGGCGGAGCCGGGGAGGCCCCAGCACCAGGGATGGGCACCGCACGAGCATTACCTCCAGAGCAGCTCCCCAAGGAAAGTGTCCAGGAGCGTGAACACGAAATCCATCACCACAAAGCGGTACAGCTCCTGCCCCACAGACGTCTCCCAGCACTGGGAAAACACAGGCATGGGTGGTATCAGGGAAAGGGTAGAGATGGCTCCCTCCTCCCACCCGCTCTCCTGTGGCTCCCAAGCAAGATCTGCGAACACCTGCCCTGCAGCTCCCTCAACAGTGGGGCACTCACTCATGGTGCCCTGCCCGCTAAGGCACTCTTCCCATGGCAACTGGTGGGCTGGCAACATTCTCACTCGCTAGCCAAACCTAGCCACTGAGCATTCAGATCACGACACTCTGCCTCTTCGAAAGGGGAACTCGGGACCTTTGCTATGCTGCATTGTGCCATCCCTGCCCATTGCAAGGGCCAGCAACAATCACAGAATCGCAGGACTGGAAGGGACCTCGAGAGGTCTCTAGTCCAGTCCTCTGCGCTCGTGGCAGGCCTAAGTATTATCTAGACCAGTGGTCTCCAGCCTTTTTATGCCCAAGATCACTTTTTGAATATAAAGGCAACCCAGGATCTACTCCACCCCTTCCCCGAGGCCCAGTCCTGCTTACTCCATCTCCCCCCTCTCTCCGTCGTTCACTCTCTCCCACCCTCACTCACTTTCACCGGGCTGGGGCAGGGGGTTGGGGTTCGGGACGGGGTGTGGGCTCTGGGCTAGGGCCGAGAGGTTCGCAGTATGTGAGGGGGCTCTGGGCTGAGCCTGGGGCAGGGGGTTGGGGTGAGGGGTGCAAGCTCTGGGAGAGAGTTTGGATGCAGGAGGGGAATCTGGGCTGGGGCAGAGTGTTGGGGTGCAGGAGTGGGTGTGGGGTGCAGGAGGGGGTATGGGGTGCTGACTCTGGGAGGGGGCTCAGGGCTGGGGATTGAGGTGTGGCCTCCCACCGGGTGGTACTTACCTTGGTGAGCAGTGAGCGAGGCTAAGGCAGGCTTCCTGCCTGCCCTGGCCCCATGCAGCTCCTGGAAGGGGCCAACACGCCACTGTGGGCCCTGGGAGGGAGCAGGGGGGGGACTTGGCTCTGCACGCTGCCCCTCTCTGCAGGCACCAACGCCAAAGTTCCCATTAGCCACAGTTCCTCATTCCTGGCCAATGGGAGCTGCGGGGGCGGTGCTTGCAGACAGGAGCAGCGCTCAGAGACCCCTGCCCCCCTCCCTCCCGGGGCACACGGGCCGCTTCCGGGAGCAGCGTGGGGCCAGGGCACATAGGGAGCCTGCCTTAGCGGCAGCCCTGCTACACCACCAGAGATTGGGATTGACTGGGAGAGTCCCCAGGATCAACCAGTCGATCAAGATCGACTGGCTGGTGACCACTGAACTAGACCATCCCTGACAGGTGTTTGTCTAACCTGCTCTTAAAAATCCCCAAGGATGGAGATTCCACAACCTCCCTCTGCAATTTATTCCAGTGCTTAACCACTCTGACAGTTGGGAAGTTTTTCCTAATGTCCAACCTAAACCTCCCTTGCTGCAATTTAAGCCCCTTGCTTCTTGTCCTGTCCTCAGAGGTTAAAGAGAACAATTTTTCTCCCTTTAACAACCTTTTATGTTCTTGAAAATAGTTATCATGTCCTGCTCCGTCTTCTCTTCTCCAGACTAAACAAACCCTGGTTTTTCCATTTCTCTTCATAGGTCATGTTTTCTTGACCTTTAATCATTTTTGTCGCTCTTCTCTGCATTTTCTCCAATTTGTCCACATCTTTCCTGAAATGTGGTGCCCAGAACTGGACACAATACTCCAGTTGGGGCCTAATCAGTGCAGAGTAAAGCAGAAGAATTACTTCATGTCTTGCTTACAACACTCCTGCTAATACATCACAGAAGGATGTTTGCTTTTTTTGCACAGTGTTACACTGTTGACTCATATTTAGCTTGGGATCTGCTCTGATAATCTGAACCCAGCACAGCAGGGGTGGCAGATTGTCCCAATATCCCTGGGCCAATGGGAGAGCTTAAATGAGTGCTCCTCTCTCTGAAGGGTGCAGTTGGGCCACTCAGTAGCTCCGAGTAGCTCTTGTTCCCTCAGCATGCACAAAATCCATTTAATCCTCATTTCTGCACAGCCCATGCAGCTGTGGGCCAGGTGCAGGGGCCCAGAGCTGCAAGGGCCCAGCTCTCAACAAGCAGAGGTTGCAACCAATGCAGACTGACCTCGTCCTCCAAGTAGTATCCCCTCTTCCGACTCAGCCAGTGGTAACACAGCAGGCCCAGGACGACCATCTTCAGAATCAAATTCCTCAGGACGAAAGAGAAAGGGAGAGAGGGAGGTATCGGAGAGTGAGTGAGAGAGAGCGATCCCATGCCAGCAAGAGGAGCAGGGCAGGGATGGACAGAGAGCTCTGGTGGGCAAAAGCACGTGAGCTCGCCTGCTCCGTTCAGCTGCTCCGAGATCTCAGTGCAGAGTGCCTGGCAGTGGAAGGCACCAGCTGCATGCATCTCCATTGTCCCCCTGGGGCAGTCCCTGGCCCGGCCTAAGAGCAGCCCGGGCCCGCCCCGGAGCACAAGAAGGAGGAGGAGGAGGAGGACGGAAGGCCTGTGGCTCACTGAGAGGGGTGCTCAAGCCCAGGTCCTTCAGGGAGTCCCAGGCTCCCAGTGCTGGATTTCTAGCTGTAACACAGCAACCAAGAGCAAAAGAAACCCCCAGACAGAGGGGGGTACGCCCCACCCCCACCGCCCTACCTGCAGATGGCCACGTACACCTCCAGCGCTGGAGACTCCTGCTTCTCCCAGGCTGCCAGCAGGTTATACAGGTACGGCATCACCAGGTTCATCAGGGACACCACCATAGGCAGGACCAGCAGGAAGGCTTCCTGCCGGGCCTCGCTGCTCCCCCCGTCTCGGCTGTCCAGGTGCACCTGGAAAGCCAGCACCAAGGGGATTACTGGCCTGCAGACCACACACAGGACTCTGGCTGCACCAGAGCATCCCTGGCCTCTCGGGAACAGTGCGACTGCCCGTGTCTCTGCAGAGCCCGGCCCCCGCCCCGCTAGCTCCGGGATGCCCCTCCAGGCAGGGATGACAGCCCCTTATGAGAGGAGGGCCCAGCACAGGGCCCGCACTCACCTTGAGCAGGTGTTCGGAGAAGTAATACACTGCGATGACACAGCCTAGGACGGTGCCCAGGGACAGTGCCCAGGCCAGACTGAGAACCACCATCCTGCCGAGCCTCCTGCACAGGCTCAGTGGGCGGGACTTGGATTGCCACTCTCCTAGCAGCTCCTGCAAAACACCACCGCAACGGACTGTCCTGATTGTACCGACGTTCCTGGGGCTGACAGGCGGGCACAGCGTTCGCTGGGAACGGGCTGCAGGTCAGGAGCGGCGAACGCCTCCCCAGGAAGGAGGGAGTGGTGGAATGGACCCGGGAGCAGCCAAAGGACCCAGGGCCTTTGGATGCACCAAGAGAGCTGTTGTCCCAAGGGGCGGAAGAGGGGAGTTTCCAACACGAGGGCAGGGGTCGATCCTTGGGGAACGGGCCAGGACCTGGTGTAACACACCCATCTTTCAGCTGTGGGGATTCAGGCTCAAATCCCGCTTTAGGTCACAAGTGAAAGTGAATTTTGTGGCTTCAATTTAATCCCCAGCTTGCCCAGTCACAAAGCCACCATGGTGGTCGTTCCTGGCTCAGGAGCAGCCCAGGAGTAACACAGCGGGGCAGAGCAATAGTGAGGGGCACCGGCACAGCTGTGGGAGGAGGGGCAGGGGCAGCTGTGAGTCTGGGCTACAGGGCACCGGCAGAGCTGTGGGTGAAAGTCTGCACAGTTTGGTCCCTAATAGAGGAACTGAATCTATAATATGGTCAGTGATATTGTTATAATTGGGGTAGTGCCCACAGGTCCCACTGAGCCCAGGGGTCCCTGGGGCTAGGTGCTACCTGTACACAAGGAAAAAGACTTCTAACTCGAAGTGCTTCCCAGCTCCCTAGACAAGCCAGAGCAGGCAGTGTTGCCCCCTGGCTTGAACAGAGGGGGACTGAGGCACAGAGTTTAAGGGTCTTGCCCAAGGTCCCACAGGGAGACTGTGGCAGAGCCAGGAGTTGAACCCACATCTGCCAAATCTCAGGCCATTGCTTGAACCCTGTGGCCAACCCAGGCCGTCTCAATGAGCCTGGAGCCGGGTGGAAATCCTCTGCGCAGCACTCGCCTTCAGCTGGGTCCGGATGTTTTCGTTCTGCAGCCTGACGGAGCGTCTCTGGATCACCTTGTAGTCCCAGGCACAGAACACTTTCATGGCAAAGTGCCCCGACGTGCTGCCCACGCGGTAACTCTCGCCAAAGGATCGGGACATGCTGAAAGAGGAGCAGCCAGGGAACGGAGATTGCAGAGATGAGAAAGGAAAGGAAAGGGGGGCATTTCCGAGCCATCAGTGGGTGCCGTGGAGAGCATGGGGCTGGGGTAAGTCAAGGGGCAGAGGCCATACAATAGCCCAGACAGGGTGGGCCCAGAGGTCGGGGCGGTGGGGGGTAAGTGCTCAGATGAGGGCGCCTGGGTGAATAATGCAAGGCACAGCCAGTGAGCAGGGAGGGCGCCTTACCTGTACACCAGCAGGATGCATGTACTGAAGAAGGAGACCCCAATGGTGAACACATAGGCCAGCGGCATGTTGTACGGGAGATGGCCTTTGCCAGGCTGGCACCTCCCACAGCTGGGGGTGCAGGGGTCGTTCAGGGTGAAGTTACTGTAGTAGCCGTAGTACATCAGCGTCTGAGTGAAGTAGCCCTGCAGGGAGAGGACAGGAGTGGGCCCCACTGCCTCCCCCAGCTGCAGAGCAGGGGGACTCTGCATGGGCTCCCAAGGGAGACGTGGATCCCCGTCGCTGGAGGGTTTTAGGAACAGGCTGGACAAACCCAGGTGGGTCTCGGGTTTCTTGGTCCTGCCTCTCGAGGGCCCTTCCAGCCCGACGTCTCTATGATCCCTGGGCTCCACCTCCAGGCACCATGACGGGTGCTGCTCAGCAGTGGTGGTGCTGCTCCCCTCTCCCCCCGCCCGTCCCTGGGATCCGGTCCCCTGTCCGGGCCAAAGAAATCCGATGCAGGCTGCAGCTGCTGTACGGCGGGCCCCAGGCCCTGTTGCAGGGCGGGGGCACCTTTCTCTGAAGCACCTGGCTCTGGGCTGGAAGCAGAGCTCCTGCTGAGCAGGGGATGCAGATCCTGTCTGTGCCTGAGCACCGAGGGGTGGCAGGGCATGTGGGTGCTGCCCCGGGGCTGGGGAACGCAGACAGAGGGAGGTGGGTCTCCGAGGTCTCGCCCTCCAGCGCAGTACTCACCGCCCCCGTGAGGAGCTCAAGCCCTGTGAAGAGCCTGCTGTTCCCAGCGGCCGGGGGGTACCTGGCCTGCGTGGCTACCACGAAGATCAAGAGGGTCAGGAACAAGAAGGCATTGAACGTGAGAAGCGTCTTGAGGAAGAGGAAGTAGGACAAGACACTGGAGCCGAAGCGGCCGCCGATCTGCTTCAGGGACTGATGCCAGGGCTGGAGGGAGTGGAGGAGGGAGAGGAACCCATCCCAGAGACTTCGGAACCCCTGGAGGGGAACAGAACTCCGCTCAGAAAAGGGGGCCAGGGCCAACCCGTCCGAGGCACCCCTGCAGCCCCTCCAACCTCCCCTCTCAGCTGTGGGAATCCCTGCAGCGCGCATGCTGCTACCGTCTCGCAAGGCCCAACTCTGCTTAGCGCAGCCAAGCTGCTCCTGGACTCTAGCCTGCCATGCTCTCCCTCTGCTGCTCCCGGCCCCATCGCCTTCCTCCCGCTCGGCTACTCCAGCGAGGGCTTTGCTGAGTGGCCCAGGGGCGCAGAGGGACGGACAGAGATGTACCATGCCCCTGGGAGCTGAGCACAATGGCAGCTGCGACTGGAAGAGGTTTGTGTCCTTTAAGCATCACGTCTCAGGTGTCCCGTGCGCATCTCGCGCCGTTCGGTCTGCACTGCTGGAGTCTCCGGTGGAAGGGCTGTCACCAGCTCGGGGGCTCTGTGCACCTACCAGAACCAGGCCCCCACCATTCACCACAGCGCCAGGGCTCAGCCCGGGCAGGTCCTGGCCCCATGCCAGTGACAGCTCCAGGCAGGGAGCACTCAGCATAACAGGGAGAGAACCCCCAGTAGGACAAACAGAACCACCCTGGCCAGTGAGTGCTGGGCTAGACCTTCCCCTGCCCCCAGAAATGTGCTCCCTTCCCAGCAGAAATCCCAAGCCTTCAGCTTCCCAGGACACACGGGGAGACCCGGGGGGAGGGAGAGCTCAGTTTGAGCATTGGCCTGCTAAACCCAGGGTTGTGAGCTCAATCCTTGAGGGGGCCATTTAGGGATCGGGGAAAAAATTGGGGATTGGTCCTGCTTTGAGCAGGGGGTTGGACTAGATGATCTCCTGAGGTCCCTTCCAACCCTGATCTTCTATGATTCTATGACCAGACAAAAAGAAAAGGAGGACTTGTGGCACCTTAGAGACTAACCAATTTATTTGAGCATAAGCTTTCGTGAGCTACAGCTCACTTCAATACAGACTAACACGGCTGTTACTCTGAAATCTATGACCAGACAAGGCGCCTGTTCCCACAGACGCTGGAGAGTCCCCAGGGCCCCCTCCCTGGGGGGCTCCGCCCAGCTCTGAATTTATCTGAGCTGCTTCATAAACAACTGGGGAAAAAAACAGCCACTATCTTAATTCCCAGCGAGAGACAGGAGTGCAGCAGGGCCTGGCGCGAACTGCAGGACTCTGCCAGGGGCCACAGCCTGGGGTGGGGAGTGTGGGGAGGGAGAGGAGATCAGGGGCTCCTGTCCTGCAGCACGGGGCCTTTGACTCTGCGAGGTTTCTCCAGACAAAAATCAGATCCGCCCCTCCTGGCCCAGCAGCCGGTGCTGCCAAGGGCCCAGCCTGGCACCTGCAGTGGGCGGGGGCAGGACTTACTGTGATGAAGTTGTGTTTGAGTTGGCCGCAGCAGGACAAAGGCCACCTGGTCCTCTCGGGTTTCCTCAGGGTGCTTCTGTGTCCACCCAACTCCTGCCTGCAACACACAGTCCCGTCACACCACAGCTCAGACACCACAAGGGAGAATCCGCAGGAGGGGACAGTTCTGCTCTTGGGAGACCCCACGCCGCCCACAGGGGACACCGGCCTCCTCTATTGACCCCCACGCTCTCTGAGCCCCCGCCCCACCCAGGTTCCTCAGGCCAGAGAGACTCCGCTTAGGTGTGGGCAGAGCTGGCACCTGCGGCTTCCCCTGTCCCTGGTGGGGACGGACCTGAGGCTGCGTTTCTCTGCCAGGCTCACGGGCATCGCCTGCAGTATGTGGTTCCTCTGGCTGCTCGAGAGGGTCTGCAGCTCCTTCACCAGCAGGCTGTGTGTGTCTGGGGAGGAGAGTCGCAGCAAGGGTCACGCAGGGCGAAGTGGGGCACCCTTGGCAGAAGAGGGGGAGCCTCCATGTCCATGGGCTGCAGGGACCGGCCCATTCTCAGCCAAGGTGTGGGGGGAGCAGGGAATGAGATGGGGCAGGAATTCCGTTCCAGGCCATCGCCCCAGCTCAGCATCGCTGCCATCCCGGGGGGGGTGGGGCGCTGGACACGTGGCCCTTTCCCCATCCCGAGGGGGGCGCTGGTCACGTGGCCCTTTCCCCATCCCGAGGGGGGCGCTGGACACGTGGCCCTTTCCCCATCCCGAGGGGGGCGCTGGACACGTGGCCCTTTCCCCATCCCGAGGGGGGCGCTGGACACGTGGCCCCTTCCCCATCCCGAGGGGGGCGCTGGACACGTGGCCCCTCCCCCATCCCGAGGGGGGCGCTGGACACGTGGCCCCTCCCCCCATCCCGAGGGGGGCGCTGGACACGTGGCCCCTCCCCCAATCCCGAGGGGGGCGCTGGACACGTGGCCCCTCCCCCAATCCCGAGGGGGGCGCTGGACACGTGGCCCCTCCCCCAATCCCGAGGGGGGCGCTGGACACGTGGCCCCTCCCCCAATCCCGAGGGGCGCTGGTCCGTGGTCCCTCCCCAATCCCGAGGGGGGCGCTGGTCACGTGGTCCCTCCCCCAATCCCGAGGGGGCGCTGGACACGTGGCCCTTTCCCCATCCCGAGGGGGGCGCTGGACACGTGGCCCTTTCCCCATCCCGAGGGGGGCGCTGGACACGTGGCCCCTCCCCCAATCCCGAGGGGGGCGCTGGACACGTGGCCCCTCCCCCCAATCCCGAGGGGGGCGCTGGACACGTGGCCCCTCCCCCAATCCCGAGGGGGGCGCTGGTCACGTGGCCCCTCCCCCAATCCCGAGGGGGTGCTGGACACGTGGCCCTTCCCCCCATCCCGAGGGGGGCGCTGGACACGTGGCCCCTCCCCCCAATCCCGAGGGGGGCGCTGGGATGCCTGGCCCCTCCCCCAAATCCCGAGGGGGCGCTGGACACGTGGCCCCCCCAATCCCGAGGGGGCGCTGGGATGCCTGGCCCTGCAGCCCGAGCAGTGCATGGCACTCCCAGCACCAGCTGCCGCACCAGCTGCTCACCTTCCTGCTCTGAGCGGCCGGCGTCCAGCTCCAGGTCGTACTGCCGCAGGCTGGGCCGTGCAGAGCGGGACACTTGGTGCAGCGGCGGCCGGCTGCTCCGGCGGCGAAGCTTGGTTGTGCGGTTGTAGCACTGTGAGATAATGGCTCCTCGGCTGTGCCCTGGAACACACAGCCGGCACGCTGGGGGTGAGCGAATGCACGCTCCCTGGCGCAGGGAGCCAGCGGGGCCGGGCGATCGGCAGCCTCTGGAAGACAGGTCTCCTCGGGGGCTGCCCAGGCAGAGGCATCGGGTCCCCCTCCCCTCAGCTTTGCTTCCAGCTGCCTCATGAATGGGGGTCCCAGCTGGGGGCATTGCGCTGCTCAGGTTCCTACAGTGGGGGTTGGGGCAGGGCGGGTTTGGTGGGGACACGGTAGTGGCGGGGTGGGGGGCACAGCTTGGCGCAGGTGGGGGCAGGGTGCTGGTGGAGGTCAGGGGCTGCAGCCCGGGGCGGATAGGCAGGTGATGGTGGGATGATATTGGGGTGAGGGCAGGGTGGGGGGCACGGTTTGGGGCAGGGGTTGGCGTGGAATGGTATTGGGGCAGGCGGGTGTGGGGCACAGCTTGGGGCGGGCAGGTGAGGGCAGGTTTGGCTCTTGGAGAACCACTGGTCTGCCCCGGTGTGAGGATGGGACGCAGCAGGGAGGGTTGACCTGGGAATGTGCCCTGGGGAGGGGAGACCTGAGAGCCTGTCCCCTGAGCCAGGAGGGGGAGGGGGAGGTGACACCTCTGCCCAGGAATGTGGACGGAGGCTGCAGGAGGGAGCCTGCTGGGTGGGGGTTGGTTTCAGTTTGGGGCTGGGTGGAGGAACGCAGGGAACCCCAGGGCTGGGGTCTAAGCTCCCTGCTCCCCCAGAAGGACTTGACTGAGGGGTCCTGGTTGTACCCACAAGCTCTGTTTTGGACTGTGTTCCTGTTGTCCAATAAACCTGTTTTACTGGCTGGCTGAGAGTCTCAGTGAATCCCAGGAAGAGGGGTGCAGCGCCTGGACTCCCCCACGCTCCGTGACACCTGGGGCTGGTCCAGCTGGGTCGGGAGGTGCGACTAGCCGGCGCCTGGGCCATGCAGCCATGAGCGGGCCCAGGACTCTTGGCTCCAGTCTCCTCAGCCCACTCTGTACGGGGATCAGGCCAGGCTGGGGGCGGGCAGCAGGACCGGAGACGGGCTGGGGCTGCGTGGTTGGCTTCCCGGGGCTCATGCTCACCGATGGTGCGGCTGGGCATGCGGGCAAGGATCTGTAGCGTGGCTGAAGAGAAATCCGGGTGCTCTCCCCTCGGCTCTGGCTCCTCCCAGACCTCAGTGCGGCCGGCTGCAGCAGCCCCTTGGGCCAGGTTTTCTGGGAGAAGGCGAGGAAATGCACTGAGCTCTGCCTGTCGGGATCAGAGAGGGAGTTCCCTGCGGGCTCCTGGGGACAATCCCCAGCCAGGCCTGCAGCTCCGAGCCTGGGCTCCCCATATGCTTCGCTCAGGCCTGCACCTGTTCAGAGCAGACGCCTGGCCCCGAGACGAGCTGCTGGCCCCTGCAGTGGCACTGGCCAGAGGCACCCCAGGAACAGAGTGCTCCCTGCTAACCCCCACAGGGTCTGTCTGTTCCAGCACCCGGCCCGAGGGCTCAGAGCCTCCCTTGTCAGCAAGCTTGCCCGAGCTCCATGGGCCCCTCCTGACGGCTTGGCGACAGGGTTGCCAACTTTCTAATAGCACAAAACTGAACACCCTAGCCTCACCCCTTCCCTGAGGCCCCCCACCCTGCCCCACAGCCCTGCCCCCCACTCACTACATTCCCCCTCCCTAGACGGTTCAGTCTCCCCCACCCTCACTCACTTTCACTGGGCTGGGGCAGGTGGTTGGGGTGTGGGAGGGGGTGAGGGGCGGGGGGGACACCTTGGCGAGCGCTTGGACGGTGGAACGTTGTACTAGTAAATGCCAGGAAGAGTCTCAGGAGCACAAACTAGGCTTCGTATCTGAGCTATAACCTGTGCCCCCCCAGCACACACAGCTTTTTGGGCTGCAAAGCGCCCCCAGATACACCCGTGCTGCAGGTCACTGCTTTACCTCTGCCCCCGACGGTCAGCTCCTGCAGCTCCTGCAGCTCCTGCTCCTGCTCCTGCTCCTGCTCCTGGAGGAGCTGCTGGAAGGAACTGTGCATAGCACCCTCATCGCCCAGGCTCAGATCTGGGCTGTGGGAAACACGGAAGCCAAGATACAGGCTGAGCGGCAGGTAACCGCGCCCACCATGACTGTAACCCGCGGCCTTTGGGCTCAAGACGGGAGGTGGCCAGGTCACAGGTTTGTAAAGATGCCAGATTCTAGCAGCATCCTCTTGTCAACTCAGCGGGGGTGGTGCTGGGACACAGCAGCCCCTGGCTGCACCCCAGAAGAACCCAAGAGCCATGGCCAGGGGATCTGACTGAGTTCCAAGGCCTGTGGAGTTGCTACCATGCAGGGTCACAGAGCCCATGGGGCCACTGCCCCAGAGCAACTCCCGAGCGGGATCACCCTCATTGCCACCCCAGGACAATTCTGTCTGCACAGGGACGCGCTGCACCAATCTTCCCGTTTCCCCTCGGTATCCCCAGGGCGGCAAGTTCTGAGCTGCACGGCCCCCATCCCCACATGGGGAGGGCAGACAAGTGCCCCCACAATGGAGGCTGTTGCTGTGGCAGCCGTGCTCCACCAGCACACCCTCTTGGCAGGGCCAGTGGGAGCCTCTCCAGGGCCAGGGTGGATGGCTCGGGCTGAGAGGCTCCCTCCCACCACAGACTGGGAGAAGCCCGAGTGCTGCCGTGTTAAGGACAGGATGCAATGGCTGTGTCTGGATAGGTTCCCCAGTGGAGTGGGCAGAGTCCAGGGACCATGCCCCTGGCAGGCAGTCAAGTGGGGCAGCAGGGTTGCTGCTCTGAGTTACATAAATGGACCCTAGACACCTCGGTGGTGGGCACGTCAGAGGTGCAGGTCTGGACAGATGGAGTGCTCCCCTCCCAGGCAGCAAGGAGGCAAATGGCCATGCAACTCACCTGGCACCGTCCCTACTCTCCGGAACGCAAAGGGTGAAAGAGAATGGCTGGGTCATCTCAGGGTCTCAAGTGCAATTCCAGCAGCTCGAGGCCGGATCCAGACAACACCGGGGCCTGGAGTTCTCCAAACAACTCTCTCTCTCTCAGCAGCGCCCTCTTCTCTTCATCTCCCACTTGTCGTTTCTAAAACAGGCCCCCCAGGGCTAGTGAGCCATGGGCAGAGTACAGCCGAGGGTGCTGGCTGGGCAATTCCCCAGCTAATTCAGCCCAGTGAGCGGGGGCTGGCTGCTGGAGAAGGGTGTGCTGGGCTCTGCCACCTCCCAGGCGAGTCCCACGGAAACACAGGGGCTGTGCTGAGTCAGGCAGCACAGCACAAAACACGGGGAAGAGGAAGGAAGAGAGGAGGGGACAACAGCTGCGATTCAGTAACACACCCGCCCTGTTGTGCAGATCGTGAAGACGCAGCAGCAGGCTCGGGGCTGCGGGCCCAGGGCCAGCAGATCGTGCCCGAGGGGCTATTCCCGGGGGGGGTGGAGACTAGGTGTTTCTAACGTGCCCTAACCCTGTGCCCCAATCCCCTGCCCCAGCCCTGAGCCCCCCCAAACCCAGAACTCCTTCCTGCACCCCAGAGCCTGCACCCCCAGCCCAGAGCCCTGAGCCCCTCCTGCATCCCAACCCTCTGCCCCAGCCCTGAGCCCCTCCAACTCCCCAAACCCCTCATCCCCAGCTCAGTAGGGTCGTGGGCATCAACGATTTTCTTCAACTGGGTTCCTAGAAAAAGAGTCTGAAAACCACTCACCTAGGGCACTTGCTTCCTTTTTCACACAAGGGCCCTGACCTTTCGTTGCAGCTTACGGCCAAGGAAGCGGAAACGCACCGACTCGTAAAAAGAAACTGCACAGAAAACAGCGATGAGGAGAGATCTCTCCCACATCCTCTGCACTACGGCAACCTCGACCTCCTTTCCTCGGCGCTGCCGCACCTTGCCCAGAGAGACACTAACCCCCTGGCTCCCTCTGCCCTGGCAGGGACTCCTCCTCCAGCCCTACCCAGGCATCCTTGCAGGGTTCCAGCTAGGGGCTCTGTCTGTTCCCAGCCGACCACTTGCTCTGTGCAAAGCCCCAGGCACCGTATGTCATGCAGTGCGAGCAGCTCCCAGGCAGTGATCCACCCTCTGGCTGGCCAGCCGAGAGACCAGATGGTCAATGCTGGGCACTGGCTGGGAGCCCTGCAGCACCTAGGGTCAGGACTCAGAAACCACAGTGCCAAGCCTGCCGTACGTGCGTCAGAGAGAGGGAAAAGCTGGGGCCTTACCCTGTGTGTCGGGGCTACTCCCCCAACCAGAACAGGCAGGAGAAAGGAGCCACTCTCTCCTCCGCACTCCCAGTTCTGATTCCTCAGTGGGCACCAGAACAAACTGCCTGTGTGTCCCTGCCTGGGCAGCATGTAAATGCAAACCCTTTGTCCTCTCCCCACACAATGCCCCGTGCAGCCCAAGGCCAGGGGAGGGGCGTCCCCGTCTCACCCAGTCCAGCTTCCAGAGGGTCACATACCAAGATGCATTTTGCACCCTGAGTGAGCTGGAAAGTCTGTGCAAGGCACTGGCAGAACGAGCCATGGCCTGAGCGAGCTCCTGCACTAACCAGACCCCCTGACTGGCTGTGAATGCCTCTGATCACCTATGCACCTCTCTGCTGAGAACCAGGGCTGCCCAGGACATCTGGGGCCCCGGCGTCTGCAGGGCAGCACAGGCCTTGGGAAATGCCAAATCTCCACCCTCCACAGGAGCCACTGGACTGGCCTTAGAGCTGCCCTCAGGGGAGCAGGGCTGGCCCCCTGCATGCTTCCTCCCCCTCAGCCCCCTCTCTCCCCTGCCACTTGCTTCCCACACCCAAAGCCCGCACTGAGAGTCTTCAGGCACTAAAGAGTTAACTGGAGCGGAGTCAGCCCCTTCCTTCCAGTCCTGGAGCAGCTGGGAGTCTCACTTCCCTCAGCCCTTCACATTCAAACCACTCCCTGCAGCAAGTCCAGGCAGATAGTGGCCCAGGCTGGCTTGGCTCCCTTTCCCCTATCAGAGAGAGACACTCCCTCTTAGAAAAGCACTGGGCCCCCAGAGAGCCTGGGGGGCTGTGGCATGGAACAGGTGTGGTGGGGCACCAGGGAGCTGGACACCCAGGCAGACCTGTCCCGCAGGGGCTTGCTAGGAGAGCAGAAGACGTGATTGTTGCTGGCACCCAGAGCCGAGAGGCAAAACAACAGCAGGGGTTCGTTACCCTGTGTGCTTCACTCAATAATCACAACGGGGTGGAGAAGCAGAAAAGTTTATTTGAAGTTTCAAAAAGGTACAGGGAGATTAGAATCTCAAATCCTGTACACAGAGCAGGAAGTTACACAGGCTTTTATACATCCTTTCTTCAGCATACTTACCCAATAGCAAGCTGCCCTAAGTATCTATATAGCCAGCCAATCCAGTTACCAGCTAGTTCCCTGGTTCTCTGTATCATTTGTTAAACTATACATAAAGCTGCTTTATTCAGCATTGTTCTTCCATATCTGCCCTGTCTGGCCTTGCTTAGTTTCAGGCAGTCTGACTCTGCCACATATTGTTGCAGATCCTCAGCATAGCTGCTGCGAGTGCCTCCAGGCTGGGGGGGGTAAGGGGGAGACAAGGACACCTGGGCCTACTGCGAGGGGGCTTCATCGACACTCGTGGTCTTCCATCCCCTCGAGTTACCTAGTGGCCATGCCCAGTGTCCCCAACATGATGGTCCAAGTAGATGCAAGCTGCACCTACCTGCGCTCCCTGCTCCAGGAGCCACCCCTGCCAGTGCGGGAGGCTGGGCACAAAACTCACCTTGGCTCTCCCCACTCTGTGCAACCTGCGTGGGGGGCTCAGTCCCGCTCCAGGAGTGATTTCTGGAGCACCCGGCTCCCGGGGGTGGCTCCCGTGGGGCCCGCCCCTCCTTTGGCCCCACAGCCAGCACAGACACACCCCCAGAGGAGCAGTGCCTGCAGGGACAGAGGCACACTGCACCAAAGCCCTGCCTGCAGGGTCAGGGAAACTCAGGAACCTGCAAGCTTTGTCCCTGGTCTGGTGGTCCCAGGCGGGGCTGGCTGGAGACTCCGGCCCCTGGAGCTCTCCCTGCAGGTGTCTCCTTCCCACCAGCTGGTCTAACTGACCAGAGTCCCTGGGTGTGTCCATTGGCTCCCTTCCCTGAGGAGCTCGCCTGCTGCCTGTGGGGGCAGGTGCACGCTGGGCTGGAGGCAGCTGAGCCTGCCAGGGTCTGTGTGCACCGATAAGGGCGGGAGGAGGGCAGCCCCCACTCCGCTCTCAGGACTCAGGCCAGCTCTTTGCTGTTCCCAAGTCCATGCACACCTCCAGCCCCACCCTATAGCTTCTTCCTAAGTCACCCCAGGGCTGACTGAGCCCTGTCTGCATGGCTGCCCGTGGCTCGGGGTGGAGCTGGGGCACGCTGGCAGCGTGGTCCTACAGCCCCGGGCTGGAGGCATTTCAAGCGCCTGGGCTCAGACCAGCTGTTTCCACAGAGTCCATGTCAGCTGCAAATCCCCCTTCTCAGCTTCACTCACCTGCCCACTGTAGCGTCCCTCAGGGGCAGTCCTGGGTGGGGAGCCTGCTGCTCTGCGAGAGGCGAAGCACAGTGAGAACCATCCAGCTGGACAGGAGCCAGCTCACTTTCCTCCCCTCACCTGGAACACAGAGGATGCTGGGAGTCGTAATCTTTTGCCTGTGGTGTCCACCTGGAGGGCAGAGTGTGATTTTAGTCTTAGCTCTGCATGCAGCAAAGGACTCGGCAGCTCCCTGGGTGTATCCCAGGCCTGCCTTGCCCAGCCTCAGTGGGGGCCAGGGCCCAGCGGTCCCAGGGATTTCTCAGACTCGGGCAGGCAAGCTGCAGCGTAGCCATTAAAATGGGGGTCAGGATGGAGGCTGGCCATGGGCCCTGGCTGTCTGGGGGCAGGATTCTCCTGCCTTGGGGCCTCTGGTGCCCCTTGTGTGGTTCCCCTCGAGGGACACTCACTGAAAGTTGGCTCAGCTGGGAAAGCCCTGTCCTAGAATCCCTCTCCCCAAAGACATAGCATGGGCCCTGGGAGCGAGCACTGCTTCCCCTGGCAGGCCCCCACGCTCTGGAGCATTCCCACCCCACCCCTGCGCTGCATCCCTGATCAGCGGGGCCTGGCCACTGCAGGCGGGGAGATGTGTGGCCAGCACGTCTCTCCTCTCCTCTGCCTTCCCTCCCTTCTGCCAGGGCAGTGCCTGTCCATGGTGTGCCACGGGCATGGGCAAGCTCAGCGCCCGTCCCCTGCATGCCACAGCCATGGGCGAGCTCAGCGCCCATCCCCCATGTGCCACGGGCATGGGTGAGCTCAGAGCCTGTCCCCTGTCCTCCATGGGGATGGACAAGCTGACAGCCTGTCACGGAGTGTGGGGGAGTCCAGGCCCTGCACCCCTATTCCTGAGATTCACTGAGACTCTCAGCCAGCCAGTAAAACAGAAGTTTTATTGAACAACAGGAACACAGTCCAAAACAGAGCTTGTGGGTGTGACGAAGTGGGACTGTTCTTAATGTTTCCTCTGAATAGTGTGGAGGTGCCTCAGTTTCCCCTATGAAGTTCTTAAGTATCTAGGTGGTGCAATTAGGGTGTATGATCATTGCAGAGCCCTTGAGGGCATGTGTGTGCAGGAGTCTGGACACAGAGAATGGCCGACACCCTGTTTCCTGGCCACTGATGGCCTGGGCCCTTCCCCCCTGCAAGGTGAGAGCTAAAGGGTTGGAGAACAAAGGAATCAGGTGACCTCCTGGCCCGGGGAAAGGAACAAAGTCCAGAGGAGGAGGGGCTGGAGGGAGATTTCAGTTTGGGGCTGGCTGGGACATGGAGTGAAGGGCAGACGTGGTTGTCTGGCTCACTGCCCCCCCCAAAATGGACCCAGCTGAGGGGTCCTGTTCTCTGCACCTGCAAGCTCTGTTTTAGACCATGTTCCTGTCATCTAATAAACCTTCTGTTTTACTGGCTGGCTGAGAGTCACATCTGACTGCGAAGTTGGGGGGCAGGACCCTCTGGCTTCCCCAGGAGCCCCGCCTGGGCGGACTCGCTGTGGGAAGCGCACGGAGGGGCAAAGGATGCTGAATGCTCCGAGGTCAGACCCAGGAAGGTGGAAGCCGTGTGAGCTGTGTGTCCTGCAGACCGGCTGCTCACAGAAAGGCGACTGCCCCAGAGTCCTGACTGGCTTCATGGGGAGCAGTTCCAAAGCATCACCCAGGGACTCCGTGACAGTGGGTACACCCAGGACCCCTCAGTCAAGTCCTTCTGGCAGAGCAGGGAGCTTAGACCCCAGCCCTGGGGTTCCCTGTGTTCCTCCACCCAGCCCAAACTGAAAACTAAACCCACCCAGCAGTCTCTCTCCTGCAGCCTGTCTTCACATTCCTGGACAGAGGTGTTACCTCCCCCTCCCCCTCACTCCCCTCTCCCTGCTCTCACATTGTCACACAGCCAGTTCCGCCATGGGCATGGGTGAGTTCAGAACCCATCCCAGTCAGCATGAGTGAGCTCAGCGTCCATCCTGTTGCCTGGGGGGGGGGGGGGCATAGGTGAGTTCAGAGCTTGTTCCCCACGGGCAAGGGAAGCTCAGCACCTCTTCCCCCTGCAAGCCACAGGCAGGGTCGAGCTCAGAGCCCGGCCACCGTGCACTGTGCATGCTCCCTGCTCAGAGCACAGGATTTCCCAGGCACCATGAGAACCCGTTTCCTGCACATCACTCAGGGTAGCACACTGAGAGCATTCCCAGAAGGTCTCATCTGTTGGGGACTCTGGAGCCAGCTGTTAGTGGGGACAGGCTGCACCCTGCATGTCACACACAGAAGCTCAGGGACAGAGTCCTCCTGCCCCTTCCAGCTGATGACACTTGTCCCCCCCACCTCAGCAGACTGCATAGCCTTCTCGATGCCAGGGGCTGGGGGGAGTCAGGGCAGTAGGGAGCGGGTCTCCGCTGGGATAGCTGCAGAAATCCCTTCCTGGCCAAGGCATAAATCTGCATTTGTCAAGTTGCTGCCCAGGCCCCAGACCTTATCTCCTACTGGGTGTGACATCACAGTGGCTAGG